TTTGTTTTTTTAATCTTCCAGTAGTGACCCCAGTGCAACTAATGTGGTTGTATGGCAGGATGGTAAACCACTGCAATGTGCTGTTTTAATAATGACTTGAATTTGACGAATATTGACACCGAATCACCGATTGGTGGATGCAGATTATGTTAAAGATTTATTTACATTTACTTGTGGGTTGATTATATAGTGGAAAAATAGAAATATTAGTGAAATATGGAAACTGAACAGAAGCAAAGAACATAGGCTGAGTGAGGACATTGTATTTATTTTCGTTTCATTTTATAAGATATGCCCTGGCCAGATCTCAAAATGCATACATGTACATGACAAGGGATTACAAATTGTGAGGTTAGCCAAATAATGAACCTTGGCCTGGCAGTCAAGTTTGGTTTTCCGATGTAAAGGTGCAGGTATGAGCTGACAGCCAAGTCTTGGCTGATGTCCCGGACTCGCTGTGTCCTCGAGCAGGACACTTTTCAGTAACAGCAAGTTGCTTCACATATCTTTTGCCAACGAATGGATTGGAGAGGACTAGAATAAATGTGAAAAAAATTCTTTGTACATACAGTAACTATTGATAATATAAGATATAATGGTCAAGATATATGTTATTTGGTTGTTACTGTCGTGTGTTTTACAGGAATAAAACATGCACTTGTAGAATTTGACAATAAAATATTGATTTATGGCGGATAAGTAGTGGTATACGTCAGTGGTTTTATAGATTTCTGTGTGTAATTGCCAGTTGTAATCGACTTTTGGTGTTGTGGGCCAAATTTAGCACCACATTGACAGCTTCAAATTTGTCAATGCAAACCAACCTCACCTCAACCCACCAATTAGCAACCAAAACATCCAGAAATCAGTGCAGGTAACTAACTCACTTAAGTGACTGATATCAATCGTTTAGTTAACTGATCAATCATACAGCTTAATGTCTGGAATCACTCATAGCTCAGCCAACTGATCACTTGAGTCAGCTATTTGTTTATTCATTTGAAATTGAACAAATAGGCTCAATAAAGAAATGTCTAACGGAACAAATGATAAAAAAAAATCAGCCAGACACGCCACATCTACCAAAGTTTATGATGTAGAACGCGAACTTATTTTCTCACTTTGACAACTCTATAAATAAAATTACAATTTCATTCTTAAAAATTCTATGTAGCGATATTTCCAGTGTCAGTTGCCAATGGAAAGTCAGTGCAGTGTGAATAAAAAAATTCTGGTCGGTGAGCCTCGAATTAGACCAAGAGAGGGCGCAATTTTCCTAGCAATGCCATGCCGGCNTTTTTTGCATGACGTCACTACACAAAAACTCACGCCGCATCGAAAACCCATTTTCTGCCAAAGGTGCCATTAATCTCACAGCAACAATAACCCATTTTCAGAATATTGATAAGAATGAAATATATAGTCAGTGCTCCGAAATATGTAATTGCCGAGCTTTCAGTAACTGGGTACCTTCTTCAGGGCAAGCTCCAAGCAGATGCAGTTGGCGGACCGACTAGACACACTGCAAAAACACGTGGGTGCGGTGACATACTTAGGCTACACGTTCGCGACTTTTTGTATCATCTGTCAAGACACTACGTAGGCCTATTTTAAAGATACTAGTCTTTGAGCATGCTTTGAGGAACGCTGGCACACCTACGTGATACGGACATGATGGAGTAAGTACAATGTATTTTGCTTTTATTATTCCACTCTTACATGTATAGTTTACAGGAATGAAATTCATCTATAGGCCTTGTCCTGAGGCCCGTTGCTGTGACCAGAGACGGGTGGGGGGTTCGTCAAACCAAAAGTGGAACTTTGGGCACTGTGAACACATATTTTTATACAAAGGCCGATCACAATGTGCTTCAGCACCCTGTTCCTATTATAAGGGAACAAATTCTACTTTTTCGAAATAACTTATCAAAACAAGTTGTTGGTAATGTCCTTTTTCATATTAGAAAGAAAAGAGAACAGGAATTTTGGTTTTGAGGGAAATTTTTGTTAAAAAATGGCAGCGCCCTGAAGATCTAGTCAACGACAAATTAGTGAATGTAGTCTGGTTCCTTGACCTGGATGTAGATTTGTATTGATGAATCCCAAAAATCTGGCCATGAATTTTAGTTCATTAAGAAATCCATTTGACGTTGACGATGATGCTTGAAAAGCACTGTTTCCCGTCTCATAAATATAAACCTGTAAAATGTCAATCCAATAAAACAAAATCTCAAGACCACAGCTTAAAGTCGCCATTATCAAAATACTCTGCTTATTTATGTTGCAAAAAGCTGTTGCGAGTACGTTGAATTTTACACTTGCAAATCAAAACATTTGCGAGGAGTGGCGTGCATTGGCAGAGGAAGAAAAGGAAAACTACAACAGAAAAGCTCTAGCTGCTGAAAACTCTCGGGATTGATATTTTGGGTATGTATTTGGGTAGAATTGAGCAGCGACAATGAAGGTGACGATCCAACAAAGCTATAAAAAAAAAAAAAATTGACTGACTGAGCAACAACCACCCACTTAAAAGATAGTACCGCATGCAATCCCTTTGTTCTTTTTCTTGACAANTTCTTTGCATGACGTCACTACACAAAAACTCACGCCGCATCGAAAACCTATTTTCTGCCAAAGGTGCCATGAATCTCACAACAACAATAACCCTTTTTCAGAATATTGATAAGAATGAAATATATAGTCAGTGCTCCGAAATGTGTAATTGCCGAGCTTTCAGTAACTGGGTACCTTCTTCAGGGCAAGCTCCAAGCAGACGCAGTTGGCGGACCGACTAGACACACTGCAAAAACACGTGGGTGCGGTGACGTAGGCTACACGTTCGCGACTTTTTGTATCATCTATCACTACGTAGGCCTATTTTAAAGATACTAGTCTTTGAGCATGCTTTTAGGAACGCTGGCACACCTACGTGATACGGACATGATGGAGTAAGTACAATGTATTTTGCTTTTATTATTCCACACTTATAGTTTACAGGAATGAAAAACTATAGGCCTCGTCCCAAGGCCCGTTGCCTGACCAGAGACGGGGGGGGGGTTTCGTCAAACCAAAAGTGGAATTTTGGGCACTGTGAAAACATATTTGTATACAAAGGCCTATCATAATGTGCTTTGGAACACAACATCAACAAGCTCCATGTTTGTCGCGAACCGGCATTTAGGGACTGATGTCATTCTTTAAATGTTGCCATATAAACTGCCCGCAGTTCATTATAAACCACAGAGGCATTTTCCTCGTGAGAATCAATGTATAAATTGTGGCTTATATTCCCAAAATTACAGCATATTAAAATAAATTTTTTATTAGAAAAAAAATCCAACGAGCGGAACTCGAGAGAGCGGGGGGGTTCGAACCCCCGAACCCCCTCCAGCCTACGGGCCTGGTCCTGGAAACCACAGAGAAAGGTAAAGACCGTGTTGAGACTGTTATGCCCCAACTACATGTAGGCCTATAACAACTATAATTGGGACAGTCCTAGCCCAGGTTGGGCGCTGTCCTCATTTCATTATGACTGACGTCCAGGGTATAAAACTTGGGTACAAAACGACCACAAATTTGGTTCTAATTTATTCTTGGTTTACCTTGTTGAAGGAACTAATTTTTCATGTTTACAAGTTCTTTGTGACCTTATCTAGGGGTTCATTACCTTCAGCACCCTGTTCCTATTATAAGGGAACAAATTCTACTTTTTCGAAATAACTTATCAAAACAAGTTGTTGGTGATGTCCTCTTTCATATTAGAAAGAAAAGAGAACAGGAATTTTGGTTTTGAGGGAAATTTTTGTTAAAAAACGGCAGCGCCCTGAAGATCTAGTCAACGACAAATAAGTGAATGTAGTCTGGTTCCTTGACCTGGATGTAGATTTGTATTGATAAATCCCAAAAATCTGGCCATGAATTTTAGTTCATTAAGAAATCCATTTGACATTGACGATGATGCTTGAAAAGCACTGTTTCCCGTCTCATAAATATGAACCTGTAACATGTCAATCCAATAAAACAAAATCTCAAGACCACGGCTTAAAGTCGCCGTTATCAAAATACTCTGCTTATTTATGTTGCAAAAAGCTGTAGCGAGTACATTGAATTTTACACCTGCAAATCAAAACATTTGCGAGGAGTGGCGTGCATTGGCAGAGGAAGAAAAGGAAAACTACAACAGAAAAGCTCTAGCTGCTGAAAACTCTCGATATTGATATTTTGGGTATGTACAGTATTTGGGTAAAATTGAGTAGCAACAATGAAGGTGACGATCCAACAAAGCTAAAAAAAGAAAAAAAAATTGACTGACTGACTGAGCAACAACCACCCACTTAAAAGATAGTACCGCATGCAATCCCTTTGTTCTTTTTCTTGACAAACGTGAAGACACAACTTGCTGCAAATTGACGCCCGCACCCCTTCCCTTACCCTCTCGCACCCCGCTTTTGACTTAACAAGACTCAAGACACTGCAAATTCGTCCCCGCATCCCACTTTTCCCTTCTCACACTCCACTTTTGCCTTCTAGCACACACTTTCTCCTTCTCGGAATTTTCCCTTCTCCTACACCCACTTTTCCATTCTCGCACCCCACTTTTCCCTTCTTGCATCCCTCTTTTCCCTTCTCGCACCCCGCTTTTGACTAGACAAAACTGAATACTCCCCACACTGCAAATTCGCTCCTGCTCTTTTCCGTTCTTGAACCTCGCTTTTGAGTAGACAAAACTGAATACTCCCCACACGCAAATTCGATCCTGCTCTTTTCCATTCTTGAACCTCGCTTTTGACTTGACAATACTGAATACTCCAAATTCGATCCTGCACCCCCTTTTCCCTTCTCGCACCCCACTTTTCCCTCCAACATCATCATAAAGATCAGTCCATAGGTCCATTCTCTGTCAAGGAAACAGCCAAGTGTGCCTTCTCGACGGGCGGATCAAGCCCCATTAAAATACAAGAATACAATGGACAGGCTGGGACCAAACGGGGCCATGGAACCCTCACCCCTGTGTATTTCTGTATGTTAATGAGGCTGGATCTGCCCTTGTTCTAGTCCTCCTTGAACCCTGCTTACCACTGGTTGCGGGAAAGGCACAGTTGGCCCATGAAGGGTAATAAAACTAACCACAAGACATAAGTAAATGGGGGCTCCTGATATTAATGTTAAAATCAGCTCATACACATGAAAAACACCGGGGACATTTTGGTAAAGCGGTTCACATTGACTTCATTATTTCAGCACCGTCTTCGGGCCAATTTTTACTGTGATCGCACAGTTTGTACAATACATGGACATGTGTATAATTAGCCCAGTACGTGCCTAGTGGAAACCAGTAGGTGATCAACTGATAACATTCAGATATCTCAACAGAATGAAAAACAAAAGACTAATGAAAGCCATCTAAAGATGTTCCTGAAAATGTTCCGAATAAAGAACGAAGTATTGAATCAACATGATTTTTATCAGTCTTTCTGGATTCTCATATTGAGTTGCCCAGTGGAATAAACAGAGAATAACTAGTTTGCAATGGTTCAGTTTCTTCACACAATACACTGTCCGGTTCTAAAAATGGAAGCGCATGCAGGCATACATTTTTGGGGAGCCGATTATTCAATATCCTTGCCTTAGAGCTAATTTAATAAGTGTGCACTACTCTATTTCGTTTTGCTGCGGCTTCCACCAGGCAGTTTGCAAATTTTCCCCACTGCACTGTTCTTTCTTTTTCCTTACTATTGCTGACTTTATGTTTTAATATTCAGGTGCTTGACAAACCCAGCCACCGCCTTGAAGGTCAGTGCAGTGGTAAATCACGAAACAACATGCTGTCACAGCGCTCGTAAAACCCTGTGGTCATCCCGCTGTTTATGTGCTTGTAATTCTGGATCGTAAAGGCCACTGTGGGTGTGGAGCAGGTGAGCATGGGTACTCTTATTGGCTACGTTCTAGCAGTACACAAGCCATGGGCACTGTTTCCTTATTGGTCCATCACAGACCATCGGTACCAATGGTCTGTGTACAATCAATTTAATGTCGCTTCTATCGAGAGTGTCTGAGTAATGTAAATTCACTAAAAGAAGTAAATGCAAATGTGGACAGAGAGAAATTTTAAGGCCCACCACCAAACAAAACTTTCCATTGCTGTGGCCAGGTCAATTGAGGGCGCTGTGCACATGACAACTCATTCAGTGTACTTCATTAAATTTGTGCATTGTTTTAGTTGCCAGTCCAGAATCCCTCCGTTGATCATCATTATTTTATTCTGCCACAGCGAACTGGAACCCTGGGTACCCCCTTTGACCCCGGTACCTCAGCACACCCTGGTAACACAAATAATTCAAGTAATTGCAGAAAATGCTACAATACCCTCTCCCCTCGACACGGAACTGCCGGGAGTCCCTTAACTTCTATCAAATTCTGTTGACACCTTTTTTTCTATTTTAAGTCCACCTGTTAACACATAATACATGCTAGAAATTGGCCAGGATTTGTACAAATTATGAATTTTAGCTTTCCCTACTACTGGCCGTAGTAGACTCAGCTTGTGTGCAGGTAACTTAGGCCAACCGTCACCAACGCACGCCACACCCTCGCCACGCCCCTGGCCCGATAGTGTGTGCTCGGCCTGGCAATCAATGGTACTCAGGGCTGAGAACCACATTGTGCATGCTTTATGTGAACATTTTCACAATGAGTGGGTTCGGTTAAACTTTAGTTTTGCTGGTTGCAGTCAATGTAGTTTTGATGTGTGTGTGTACGCAGCTCGGAATCTCGTGCACTAGATAGTTGCATGTGCACACTGTACAAACTGCACTTGAAAATGGCTGAAACAGTCCACAACAATGGCAAGAATTAACGTTACATCAGACTTTATTTTCCCGTTTTTGTCTTTGGTGGTGATGTGTTGAATTTCTTATCCCACCAGCTGTGGAGATAAGGATGCATAGGAGTTACAGACGTGAAATTGGCTCCTTTGAAAAGGTAGCGGTGTTGAAAAATTTAGTTACAAAATTTTCGCCCGATTTTGCTCCGTTTATTATATCCTGGACTCCCTCTAGTATGGTTTAATAGGAAGCCAACCTGGGCTAGGACAGTCCCAACTGTAGTGCTACAGTTGGGCTGGCCCAACTATTGTTGACCAGAGTCTGTAAGACTCACTCTCAACAATATAAGCACACTGTGATCTACTTGAACCAAAGCTCATAATTCATTCATTCTGTTTGGACACATACTTTCGTTCAGGTGTGTCAACCAGGTCTTCACATAAGCCTGGCCATTTTTCTAAAGTATTATGTCGGTTTGCAAAATGCCCGTCATGAGCTTGATGCCAAGCTAAGCAAAACTTTGGCAATGTCTGGAGAGCTACATGTACAAGAAGAGAAGAACCCGGAGAAGAAATTTGGAGAATACACAGCTGACATAAGAAATGCCCTTGCACTAGAGGAGGAAGCAGATGCCTGGAAAGCAAATGGGGCAGCGCTAGAAGTCCAACTGTCAGCTCTGGTGCTTCAAACAACAAGCGCAAGTGATAACATGGTCACAGTGATGCTGCTGTCAGATGCTGTACAGGAGAACTTGGCCAAACATAAGGAAAAGGTGAGGATACAAGTAGTACCAGGCCAAAGCAGGGGTTGAGGGACAGCTGTTGATGCATGTGCATCCTCAAAGTACTAATAAGGTCTACATTATCCAAAAAAGATAAAAGTTTGCCCATAAGCGGGAGATAGCTTAATTGGCTCAAGTGATCCTTGTGTAGCATTTTCCATGGACCCCTCCGTGAACTTCAGTTCTTCAAAGCTGACCCAGATTTCAGAACCACCCCCTCCTCGGTTTGGTTGCACTGCAATTTAATGTTTCTTCCAGAAATCAGCTGCAGCATCTCTGAGGAAGAGCACCACCCTGCAGTGCGGCTGAGGACCCCTGACTTCTCAGCTGCACAAGACTCTGCAGGAAATGGGAGTTCATCGCCGGGCAGGCATATCATGGAAATGCATTCGTTGAGAACCACGTGCACAAATGTTGCCAGGTACAAACCAAATGCATAGCTTGTTATACTATTTCAAGATGTGTAATAAAGATACATTCATGCTCAGCGTTGCACACACTTAAATGAAGTTGTTTACCTCCACTGTGAACAGGAGGACAATATCAGAAAACCGACATCCTCCATTGTCCGGAAAACTGAGGAGTTGTACCCAGCTTCGCCTTCCAAGATGCACAATGCTGACAACCTTTCCAGGAAGTATCATCAACTGCTCACACTCTTTTTAAGGTGTCACAACAAATGCAATGTTGTAAGAAGGCTCGGTACAGAGGAGATAGAAGAACTTGGTAAGCACAAAGCAGACACAAGGTCAAAGAATTTCATATCTGCATACCACTTGGCAGCAGGTAAGTTCCTTGCTTTTCACATTCAAACCCAGTTTTGAATCTTGCAGGATGCAGAGTCATTAAGTCACTTGCGAGTTAGATTTGAATGAAATCTGGTACACTGTGTTATCTGATAGCACAGAAACTTAACAATTTTAATTCCCCAGACTAAAGACACTGCTGCTATACCTCGTGACTTGGGGCAAGCTTTTGCATAGCGCTCACCATCTCTTGAATGGACTGGTTCCTTTGTGCCGTTCTTATCCATTGAGAACAATGTATTGTTGCAAGGCGTCTCTTTTGTAACTAAGCAAAAGCTTGCCCCGAATCACGAGGTATAGCAACAGTGGTTTCTGTATGGAGAATTCAAGTTATGTTCACATGAAAGAACTCAGTGCACCAGATTTTATTCAAACGTAACTCGCAAATGGCTTATTTGAGTATACTGCTTCCCAAGAACAGTTTTCTGAGATTTTCCTGCCTTGCTAAAATTTGTCCATCATTTCCTCCATGGATTCCAATCTACATGTACATAGTAGTACAATGTGTACAATGTTTGAACTTGCCTTCTGAAAACTACCTGAGAGATTAGTCCAATGTACCCCATTAACACTCATAAACCAGGAATTGTTCTTTTATACATTTCCGACATTTGCTTTTTTTTGTTTTGTTTGGACATTTTAATAACGTAGACAGCTGTATCGAGCAATACACGCAGTTCTTCTGCACCAAGTTCAGGGATGAATCGGTGACACCTAAGATGCACCTCCTGGAAGAACATGTCATACCTTGGATCTCGCGATGGCAAGTGGGTCTTGGCTTCCGCGGTGAACAAGGAGGAGAGGCTATCCATGTTTGCTTCAACAAAATACGTAGAGAGGTCAGAGGGCTGACCGACGATGTGAGCATTCTTAAGTCTGTGATGTCCACTCACTGGATACAAACAAACCCAACATAAGATTCAGCTTGATATACACCTGATGATGGGTTGTTGTCTTGTCATTATTCTGTCTTACAAAGGTAAACTAAGACTGTCAGAGGGATTGATATTTAAGGTGCTGTAAACATTATTAGTGGTATCTGATTTCCTGGAATGAGGTTAATTGTATTTCAGATAGTGAATTTTATTGCAGATTGATCAAAACATTCAACAAGAAAGACATTATTTATGTTATTTTAATGAGTACTGTGATTATAAAACATGTGCAGCTGTCAGTGGTTGATGATAATCAGTTAGTTGAGAAAAAGTTTCATCTCACTTTGGGGGGGGAGGAGAAGGAGCGAGAGAGGCGGATGGGACACAACTGGAGATGGAGGGAGTCCGATTGTAGTACTGTTATGACAGGGTGGTTGGTGGCAGTTCGAGGGAATAAAGTTCCAAAGACGATGTGTTTGGTGTTCTAGGTTTATTCTCTCGCTCACTCGGTTCTCAGTTGGTGGATTACGAGGCACATCCACGTGGTGGTGGCAAGTTTCGGCAACAACCCACCGCCAAGCGGTGGCACCCCACTTACCCACCAACTGAAGGATGCTGAGCTAGGGTAGGATACGTTATGAGTGTCCAATCCATTCCCCCCACTACATTCCTCCAAAGGCCACTATAGTCATCGGCCCTGACGACTGTCAGACAAAGGTTCTAAATCTTTTAACAAGAATTAACATCCTGAAGAAAACATGTTAAATGGCAATGGAACAAATAGTAACAAGACATAGTGTCATGAACCTTTACAATATTAGAAAACTATGAACACTACAACCAGTGTCTTCAGAATGTTCTAAATTTGGAACAAGAATTTACACACTGAAAAAACATGTTAAATGGCAATGGGTCAACTAGTGACAACTGACAATACATGGCATCATGAACCTTTACAACATTGGAAGACTGCAAATACCACAACCAGTGTTGGTATGCATTATAACCATCAATATCCATAAGCCTTTCATCACTGGAAATGCAAAGGTCCACTAGATAGACGGTGGCAGTTTTGGATTGCTTCTTATCAGAGTCACACTCAAGAGTCGGTGTCACCCGACACAATGTCCTTGACTTGGGTGAGGAGTCTTGATAGAACACTAGATTGTTACCTGACCGGAGGTCTCCCTCTCATGGTTGCTTCACGGTGAATGCAGACTGGGCCTCGTCCTGTGATGCAGGGTCCACTGTTCGAAGAATGGCAATTGGCTCTGGTGCTTTCAACTGCTCATGAGAATCTGGGGCTGAGGGTGGAGAAGGTTCCATCTTGGTTACTCTCGGCATTTCCCGGTGATTGTCATTGCTGGAAGAAGTCTTGTTCGAAGCAGCGCAAGTTGGCATTGAACTCGTGGAGCTGTCCCCCCGCAGGACTAGATAGGAGTTGGTGATAGGAGTCATGTACAAATGGTGTTGCCTTCAGCATTGACAGGATTTCCCTCCGACACATCTTGATAGGGTGCTGGTATTTCAGGGTCAGGAGGGAGCTGTGGCGAATTGATCACCGTGGGGACTGCTTTGGGTGCAAAGGTCAAGACTGCGACCCATCTATCACCAGCTGCGGATGTGTCCTCGGAAGAGCTTGGTGGGGGCACAGCTGAAGATGACACTTAGTCCACTGTTGTCTCAGGGGGTTTCACTTTCCAAGGGCAGTGTTTGTTCTCACAGTGATGAAGCACTTTTTCCATGCCCTTTGGGTCCCGAACTCTGTAGACTGGCTGTTGTGGGTATGGTCAGTCAACTACCATATAGGGGTTTGCCTCCCAGTGGTCCTGAATCTTCACTCTGCCCCGCTGTTTTCTGTCACGTATGAGCACAAAGTCACCACGGTTAACAGGTGCCTCGAGGATGTGTTTAGCATGGCGAACCTGACGCTTAGCAGTGTTGATGTCAATATTTGTCATTGCAGTCGTGAGCATGCTCCATCTGCCTGCATAGTTGTTGAGCATACTGGTGGGGACTTTCACTATGAGGCTGTTTGTGACTTACACCAAGCAGGAGGTGTTGAGGAAGCCGGAACCTCCTTCCCATCATTAGGTAGGCCGGCTCGTATCCAGTGCTGGCATGGGCCGTGTTGTTATAGAGCATGACAAGATGCGGCAGACTTTCAGTCCATCTGGCCTTGCGGTGTTCCAGGAGAGCGACAAGCAGGTTATGCAGTGTGCGGTTAAAGCATTTGCATTGACCATTACCTTGGGGCCTGTATGGGGTAGTGTGTGAGTCCCCGGCACCGTATAGGTTGCCGGGTTCTTGTACAACCTTTGCTTCATAGCACCACCAATTGTCAGAATGGATACGTAGAGGAGCACCAAATGGGAGGAAGACGTGCTTGACAAGCATTTTAGCCACTGTAACTACCCGTTCGTCCCTTGCCGTTATGGCCCACAAATACTATGTAAACACATCTGTGATGACAAAGACATTTTCAAAACCATCACTCGAGGCCTCCAACACAGAAAAATCAATCGGCACCACTTCCATTGCAGCAGTAGCCTGGAGGTTACCCATTGGAGGCCTTGTTCCCCTGTTTGGTCGTTTGCCGATTGTGCAGCGTTGACATTGTTCACACCATTTCTTGACTCTGGACTCCAGACCCAACCAGAAGAAGAGGGGGGCGGATCAGTTGGAGGGTGCGTTTAACATCGAAATGACCAGCATCAACATGAAAGAGGCGCGAAATGGTGTCGGTCACCACGCTGGGAACAACCAAGCGGTCCCACTTCTCAGTACTGGAACTTATCCAGTGTTGATACAGAACTCCCTCTTTGAAGAAGAATCGGTCTCGATGCCGTAGCATTTTGGCCACATCCTTCCCATCATTCTCCCTTTCTTGGCGTGCAGCTCTCTGGTTGTTCTCATGGTAGACAATTACTCTCGGCAGGACTCTATCAGCATGCTGAAGGCTCCTTAACTCTTCCTGGGAATAGCCAGGGAGGGTCAGACTACCCCCCTCAGCCGAAGCCTGGATTTGTGGACAGAACATTGAAGGTAGTTCCGTATCACCAGAAGTAATACCGGACACCGCAACAGACGACACCTCCAGTTGCTGTCCCTCCTCAGCCTCACCAATGGGTGTCTTGAAAGGGCATCTGCTGCTCGGTTGCTTCTGCCAGACTGGTACTCCAGTTGAAAATCAAATAATGCCAGTTGCTGCACCCATTGTAACTCAACAACACTCAGGTTAGCTGTATCCAAATACTTCAAGGGATTGTGGTCGGTGTAGATTATGCATCAATTGCCTCGTAAGTAGTCTCGAAAAGCCTGACACGCAGCCCAACGTATGGCCAACAACTCCAACTTGAAAGAGGACTAATCTTTGTTCCGCCTTTCGACACGACAAAGAAAGGGAGAAGCATAACCTATGGCTGCTTTTGAACCATCTGGCATCTTTTGTGAGAGAACTGCGCCCAGACCACATGAGCTAGCATCTGTCTCCAAGATAAAGGGGAGAGAAAAATCCGCAAACCTCAGGACAGGTGCCTCAATCAATCTCTGCTTCAGTGACAAAAATGTAGCCCTTACAGATCCATCAAGTTTCACAGTCGTCTTCCCGGACTGGGTCTTCTCCTTCACTGGTATTCCCTGCAGATGCTTTTGCAGAGGGGCAGCTATGGTGGCAAACTGTGGCACAAACTACCTGAAGAAACTGGCAAAACCGAGGAAGGAGCGCAGCTCAGTTAGGGTACTTGGTTCTGGCCAATCCTTCACTATACCTTTACCTTGTCTGGATTGGGTTTCACCCCCTCACCGGCAGCAACCAGATGACCAAGGTATTTGAGCTGAGTCTTGAAAAGCTCGCACTTTCAGGCTTTTAGCTTGAGCCCATGTTGCCTCAGGCAGGAAAACACAAGCTCTAATCAGTGTAGGTGCTCTTCAA